CTTAAGTTGGGAATGACTTTGCCTTAGCTATTTTATTTTGTATTTTACTTTTTTGCAATTAAATATTTTTTAAAGTAAAAAAAAGGTATTTAATTTTATACATTAGTTCACATATTTGGTTAAGTTGTGGTTTGGTTAACCATAATTTTTTTTAAGTAAAGCATAATTAGCTGGCTTCATGTAACAAAAGTCAGAGTTTACAACCTAGAAACTGAGTTTGCACAGCACAGTGGTTGTGTTATATAGTGTGATTAACCAGCATATAGAATTAACCTGTTTGTAGGTTCACACAATACCTTGGAGAATAGAGTAGCCAAATGGGGTGGGTTTGTACAATATACTAAGGGTTACAAAGTAACCCTAACAAAGTTAACACTAATCAAGTTTAGCAAGTTTGTGATTGCCTCTGTGTTGTGTGAACATAGCAGCCTAGTTCACCAGACTGCACAATGACTTAGCATAATGTGAGAACCTAATCATTATTTCAGATAAAATAGATTGATCTTCTAATCCTCATATTGCAGATTAATGTAGCTAGCTTGCAGTTACAAATGTTCTAGCAGAGACAATTCCTGTGTCTGCAATAAACCCAATTTTATTCATGCAACAAATTGGACCAAACTAACCATATGAGCTGAGTTCAGATGACATTCAGTGCGATATTTGGCTCATTTTGGGATTCACCGGACCATGTGAATACATCTGATTTTTGAGCTAGTGACTTTTCAGTTCACATTGGAGTTTAATTATACAGTAATATTATTAGGAAGCACACTGTGGCTGCCACTCCACAAATGCTTCAGAAACTCTCATCACTGCCAAAGCTTCCCCACCCAGGTCCAGTTCATGTGCAGTTTGTATATGTGCAAGGTTGACAGCTCTAACTCTATGTTCAACTGCAGAAACTTGTAGAGGTGAAATAATTTGCAGCTTACTATTCCCTGTACCAACTGGTTGGGTGTTCAGCAATTTGATTACTTGTTTTATGTCCACATGGGATTTATGTCCACATTGGCTAAGGATCTTGTTAGTGGACTGTGTAAAACATTCAGAAGAAGTGCTTTGCAACATACAGGAATGTATGTGAAGCACTTCTTTTTGAACTGCTAAAGCAGCTGTGTGTCTTCATCCCAGTAAAGTGATTCATGTAGAGGCAGCCAAGACCAGTTTATAAAGGTAGCAGTGCAAACATTGCAAACCATATGACTGCTTTAATGTTTCAAAAAGAAGGGATTTGCAAAGCTCCTTTTTTGAATGCTTTGTACAACCATATTTACTATTGCTTTCATTCATTTTTGAATTAAGAGTCTCAACTACCCTTTCTAGATTATAACTGTGGTTATAGATAGAACCAGGTATTCTTTTGGGATAATTAGAATGAATTATAGACGTGTTGCATCTATGTAATATTTGAGCAAAACCAAAACATTTTTTCTTGTTACTTTGCTTATTCTTGTCCTTTTGGGAAGCCACAGAGTAAAAGGAAGGGCAGCATCAATTTTAGATATTGTCTCCCCTACCCTCACAAAACCAAGGGAACAGCTGTCAAAAAGTGGAATTTTTTATTTTTAGTGAGACATCATGATGATGATGATACAATACTTGTATTATAAAGTATGATATAATACTTTCTTCAAGGGAAATAAACCAGAGTTCCTGGATGATATGACAGGGAAAACCAACCACAGACATAGATGCTAAATTGGTTAGCTGTGCCTGTTGACATGCAGTCATGGCACTATTCTCAGTCATGGCAGTATTCTGGCTTATTGTTCCAAGGGAACATGCTCATTTTGTGATCCAAATAGTATGATAGTGTTTTGATAGGTATGTGTCAAATATTTCTAACATAATTTTCTGAGAAATTCTGGTTTTCCCAGGAAAAGCAGTGGTCTTGGGCACATTGCTCTGTTGCTGCTACTTGGCTTTTGCTGCTAGTTAAATAAACCACTATGCATAGCTAGTTTAATGTTATGTACCTGAGCCCTGCCTTATTCCTTAAAACCACCATCAGAAGTCATGGCTTCTTCTTGGATTATGGTTTATTAAGAGAAGGCCAAGGCAGCACATAATACTGAACAAACCACAGATGGTACCATTCAGGTTTATTTAGCTGACAGAAGGAACTACACATAAGTGTTTTTGAGTAGTGTGCATTAGTTTAATGCTTATTCCCAAGTAAGCCAGAATTTTTTAGAACCTGGTTGACTGTTCAGTGGAAAACCTGACAAATAAGGATTACGTTTTATTCTAGTATTTCATAATGTTTTGCTGATTCCTTGTATTTGTCCATTTCTACCCACATTCACTACTTGCTAAATTTCCCTACGTAAATTCAGAAGTAGACTCATAATTTGCTGTGGATGGAGATATGCTGTATTAAGATGGATTACTCTTAAAGGAGAATTTTCTATTTCCCAGTCATAATCTCATTATGGTTCTTCTTTTTTTCAGTTGTCAATGAATTTGGTCGTATTGCTATAGAGTTCTTAAGAAAAGGCACAAACCCCAAAGTCTACGAAGGAGCAGCAAGTAAGAATGAGGGCAGTATGTTTTCATAGGACCTTGTGGCTATAAAAGTAACAGACAGAAATAGACACAGATGTTGATGTAATGGTGTTAGCCCAATAAACAATGATTAATTTGAACCAGGGATGAGATTTGTACCTTGGTCCAAAATAGGTTAATATCATGGATTATAAAAAGTTGTTAAACTAATTCTGCAAGTTGATTGGCATAGGAAACTTTGTTGGAGAAGTTAGGACAAGAAAATACAACTTACTTTGGCTTGAGGGCTTTGTATGGTATGCTAAAGGCCACACTCCAAAAGGTATAGGGTAACTTTATTTTTTCCTTTGATTATTTAATTGTTAAAGCTTTTATTAATTTATTGTTAGGGTTAAGATTTAATTTATCTTTAAATTTTATTGGGGAGAGGAGTAATAGCAGAATTTTCCTTACCATTAGCCATAGCATTTTTTCTTGATCAACAGAGAGAGACTTGTTTCATTGTTAACCCCCTATTGATAAATAGAAGAACTGCAACCTTTTTTTAAGTTCAAAAGAAGTGCAAGTGAAGAAGGGAAATCAGAATAAGCAAGACTTTTTTTGTTTTTTCAAGGGTATAAGGAAACAAAGATTTGCTTGGATTTTTATTTGTTTTAGAGTATGGAGGTTTTTTTCAAGAGGTACATTTTCTCCCTTAAAATTCCCAATATTAAAAAGGGGGGGGGGCAAAACTTTCAGCCTTACCCCAGTTAAGTGGTGTTTTCACCCAATTTCCCATCCACCATCAAAGCACATTCGCTTTGAGTTAAGATATTAATGCTGATGTTAAGCATAGAAGAAAAACCAGTAAGGCACTGAAGGGGGACAGTAAAGTTACAAAGGTCATTTTCAGTTAGAAAAGGCCTGATTACATTCTTGTAAATGAGACTTCTGAGATTACACACATGCAAATGTTTTAAACCTTTTTTAAAAAAATTTATTCAGTATTTTACTAAAGCTGACTAAAAAGGGGTAGATAGCTTAATTTATATATTAGGTGCAGAGGAAGGATTTCAGTTCTCTGTTGAGTTCAGAGGAAAAATGAGGCATTCCATACTTCTTCTATCAGCCTGCTGGCTTGTCTTTGTGCAATTCGTGATTGCTAAATCAGTGCTTAAAATATGAATCTGACTTGATGGTACTGTAAATTACAAATTATCAAAATAAACTCTTAAGCTTCTTTGTAATGTGCTGAAAGCAATTTAGAAAGTAAAAAGTAAATGTTAATGCATGCTTACATCTATAAATTCAGGAAAAAATATTTTCATATAGTTTTGTTTGTAACATTTGTTACTGTGTGGTTTAGAAATGGCGGAGTAAAGCTAGCTTGTAAATGCAAAGCAAAAGGAAGTTCTGAAAACACATAGGTAAAATGAAAGGTATACCTCTGATTAATGTGCTCAAATTCTTTTTTCCAATTTCTTACAAAGTAGGAACCATGTTCAGATATCTTCTTCAGCTGTTGTCAAACCACTGCACTTGAATTGAGATTTCATCAGAACTGGTGCAGCAGTTTCAGAACTAGATTTAAGCTGGCAGTGTATTCTCTGGAAAAAAAAAAAAAGGGTTCAGCCTTAACATTATATCTCATGTTATGGGAATGTCACATATGGTAAAGTAGCATGTTAGTTTTCCATAGACATGGGATATTTCACATAAGAAAGCATATAGGCATGTTGTTCCCAGTTTGCATTCTAATCAGCAAAGGTCTGCCTTTCTAAGGTCTTCATTCATTTTATTTTCTGATAGTTCATGAAAAATGGGAAATTGTTAGCTTTAGAGGAAAAACATTTATTAAGCTCTGATCTCTAGTAGACTTTCATATGAATTTCAATGGACTGTTACAAGCTAAAGATCTCTTTGTGCCTCTCTTTTCAATCATTGTTAATCATTTACATGCAGAATTCAAGACAGCTTACTTCCTAATAAATATATTTAGCTTTGCAACCCATGCTTATGTTTTCTAGCTATTTGTTATTATAATTAATTATTGTGACTTGTTTCCTTTATTGGCACTATATATGTTCTATTTCTGTGGTGTTTTCTTTTTTCATTTTTTAGGAAAACTTAATGTTAGTAGTGAGACAATTCAGCATGGAGTAGAAGGATTAACATATCTTCTCACTGAGAGCTCAAAACTCATGGTAAGTGATTACACAAAGAGTTCTATTTAGAGAAATAAGCAGATACTTTAGATTACTTTGTGGAAGAGAATTAAGTGTGCTTCACTTCTACAAAGGCGTGGTGTTTCAGATGAAAGTTTAAACATTCCTCTGGTTTTGGGGCATTTACTATTTAGTTGCTAACTTTTTTCACCAGTTCAGGTTTCATTGACTTTAAGAGCAGTTATTGGTGATCATCTGCATATTTGAAAATCTTTATATGCTGATTTCTGCTGACCAATCATATTTCATAGGAGGAGACATGATCTTTAGAACAAGAAATAGATTTGGAGCAAGGAAGAATGCAATAAAAGCAAATGAAAATTCACACATTCTGCATTTTGCTACTTTTTAGATATCTGAGATAGATTTTCAAGACTCAATACTTGTATTAGGATTTCCTGAAGAATTGAATGTCTTATTACTTCAGCTGTATCTTGACAACAGGAAGGAGATCAGGAATATTCTGAGTGAACTAGCACCAAAGCTTCCTAGTTATCATAATCTTGAATGGAGACTAGATGTACAGGTAAGCATACAAACATTAGTAGATATTCACAGATTTCTCTCAGTTCCAATATGACCTAAATTTGTTTGTTTATTTCAAATTATCAAACATTCGTTCTTTCCAGATGATAAAGATAGCAGTGTTATGAAATCATGCATATTTTGTCATATTATTATTCACAGGAGGGTACTATAAAGTGAAGTAATAATGCTTGTTTTTAATATGTACTTTTAATATTTATTTTATTTAACTGAGTCACTTTTGTGAGATGGGTGGCTATATAAATTTGCTAAATAAATTAATTAATAAACTATGTAAGTTAACCATTTATTCATTAGTACAATGCAACTTGCACCTTCAATCTATTCATATTAAGAAAATGTTCCTGTATATTTCCCATCATTCCCATACTGTTGCATTTACTAGCGCAACAGTATATCCTGCTCCAGGCAAATTATTGGCATTTTATTCAAATTGCATCTTATTTTGTAATAGAAAATTTGGACTATATGTTGGTCATTTTAAATGGTAATGTAATGAATTATTCAAAATGTAGTTTAATTAAACTTTAAAGAAAATTAAAGTTGATCCTAACAAGAATAATAAGTCATGTACACATTCTAGTCTAATAATCAGCCACTAAATTGTTTAGCAGCCCATTCTTGAAATAAGAACTAGGGTAACATATTTGCACACGCATTCCATAAATGTACACACTTGTATGTTTGGTGAGGGGGGATGGACTGCCTAAGAGTGATTGACAGGCCCCTATAGAAGTCTTTCTTACAAAGGTAGTGTAATGTCTTCAAATTCTCCCTCTCATGTTCTTCTGTTGGCTTTATAAAATATGCTGTTTGTCAGCATGGAATAAATTTTGGAACTGATAATCTTGGCTGCCAGACACTTGAGAAAACATTGCTTGTTTTCAGTTTACAGCTTTCATGGGCTGATGTTAGTTTTAGTGAACCATTGTTCACAAATGCCATTTAAAATGTTTGCATTTTATCCTCCTCTTCCTCCCTCCTCCCCAGCTTTTGTGATTGACTGACTGATAATCAAACTTAGATCAACACTAAGTACTATGAAACCTTAATTTGTGTAATTTGTATCAATTTTTATCACATATAACATAAATTGACACAAATCATGTAATTCAAATTTAATGGATATCTGGGTTTAATAGACATCCCCTCCACCCAAATGGGTCATATCTGGATAACCATGACATTTGGATTTTACTTTTTTTGTAAAGTAATTCAGTTGACTTTTTGCTAAATGTCAAAAATGTGTTAGATTCCAGAAAAAGGAATCACAGCATATTCAGGTTGCCTTAGTTATCCATGAAGTTCTGCAGTAACCAAATAACCGCAGAGAATATTGAGACCATGAAAAAACATATTATACAGATGTGCAAAAAACATACTTTACGTCTGCTTTTTTGAGCATACAATGAACAAAAGGATGCCCCAGATAATGATACGTGAAACGCTTTACCATAGATACCTAGTTCTGGTTGAGATTTCCAAACTGCAGTGGATGAATATCAGTAAAACTGGAGTATTCAATAATAATGAAGTAACAGGTGCATGCTGTAATGAACTTATATTTCTGTAAACAATTGCATTATGACTGATGTGAATTAGAAATGCAACTGTTCTTAACTCATCCTCGTATTTGATTTACTATTTTTTTCCCATCTCACAATTTGAATAGCTTGCCAGCAGAAGTCTGAGGCAGCAAATTAAGCCAGCTGTAACTCTGAAGCTACACCTTAATGAGAACGAAAATCAAACGACAAAAGTACTACAAACTGATCCTGCCACGTTGCTCCACCTAATTCAACAACTGGAGCAAGCATTGGGGGAAATGAAAACAAATCGTTGCAGACGAATAGTCCACAACATCAAATAGTGTTTTCGTTACAGCAAATCTGTATCATTATAGGAAGCAGCGCTTCACCCAGTTCATCTGGACCAGTCAGGGCGCTATTCCAAGATCATAAAACAATGCTTACTGGTTGAAGTTGATTGGGTGCTGGGTTGATAATGCTGTCAGACGCAAGTTAGAATAACTCTCATAAACTTTAATCAGAAAAATAGCTGAATATGTGAGCTTTTTCTATTTTATGTATAACATACAACAATGTTTATCGACCAAACTTTTTCTTTTTCTTTTTCCAACCTTTAAGAATAAAGGAATGCATATATTAACATTTTACAGTATATGTCTTTAGACTTCAGACTTGTTTCTTACAGTTACTGTCTTATTCAGGGCAAATTACTGCTCAGTGAAATAGAGTTTTGTCATACCTTAACTGCTAACTGATGTTATTGTGAAAAAGGCAATTACAACCATGCATGCTAAAAATTATTTCATTAAAACAAGGAAGAATGTTTGGTTCACACAAGATATTTTTGTTTGGACATTCCCATGTGCATAAGCTAGGCAGCTGGACTGCTCACTTACAGAAGAAAAAGAAAAAGCAAGTAATGAATCCTTTTAGAAATGATAGTTGTCACTAATATGTATACAATTATGTTATTGGAAACAGTGACTAGTCTCTATGTAAGTGTTCATTTTTAACATTTGGTATGGTCCCAGTTCTCTGTCTTCTCCAGGTACAGGAGAAAAGTTAATAAAGGGGCCTTTGGCTGAGAACTTGGCAAGTACTGGACAGGCTTGAGTTAAATGGATTGATAGTTTGATTTGGGGATTACTGGATATGATGACTACTTCTAGGGTTTAAAGTAGGAGAAAATGTTCCTTTTCTAAGAACGTACAAGGCTTATTCCTCTATGAAATATGTCCAGCCTCTTTCCCCAGCTTCTCACTGCCTTTCCAGGCTATAGTCTTCAGCTTTATTAGCATAAGTCTTCAGTGAAACTTTGTTTTAAAAAAAATAATTTAGTTAAGACAACAGCAATACAATCCTACATAAGTTTACTTGACATTAAGTTCCCCCATGCTCAGTCTTACTCCTAAGGAAATCTGTTAGGGTTGCAATCCTAAAAAATACCAATTGAGTTTAATTCCTGAACTGGAGAAGTTCTAATATTAAAATAATAGCACATTTGTTTTTAACTGGCAGAAGATTTCCCTGTACGGTAATTGTACTGACCATCCTATTACACATCTAACCTATCTCAGTTAAAGACAAATCAATTCTATTTGCTCAGCATGCTAAACTTGGCTAGTTTTAAGCTTGATTAGGGCTTTTTTGTGGTTTAAGCTTACCCATCCAGTAAGCATCATGGCTAGGCAGATATTTAAATCTGGATCTTTCTACTTTAGGCTTAACCAGTATGAGTGCTGAATTAATAGCATTTTTGCTACATTCACATTGGCTCTCATTTAGCAGTTTTATCTTTTTTAAAAAATAGCAGGTTGGTGAGCCAGAAAGTCTTACGTGGATCTTAAAGTACATATGGTGATAGTGATGCTCTTCTGGAAAGATTGAGATGCAGCTTCTAGAATGGAACTAAAGGTTCATTCATACATGGCTCAGATCAACTTGTCTTGTAAGATGCTGCTGAGATTTTTATTCAGCCCTGTCACCTGTAAGAATTGGAAAGCTGAGGAACACTGAATGGGTTGATGGAGAATCTGTGGCCCTGTAGCTGTTGTTTTATTCCAGCTCCCATTGACCAAGTGAGCACAGTCAGCAGGAGGCATAGTTTAATATTTGAAATCTATAGATTTTTCACTCCCAAGCTAAACCTATCCACTATGGATGTTTCTGTGGCTTGATTCACACATTGTGCTAAGCTACAATATGGTTGGTTTGCTTTGGGTTTATGTGTGGTATGAACATGCTATGTTGGCTTTATTTAGTGCCTGCTCAAGGATAGATAGTACTAACCCAGTAACTGCTATGCTGCTTCACTCTTAGCTTGGGAGCAAGATGCAGGCAAAGTGCAATCAAGGAGGGAAATAGGGGGTGAGTAGAGGACATAGGCATGCCACGGAAAACTGCAAGTGGAACTAGGGCCTGTGAATGTTGAAGTAGCTTGGCTTGCAGCACTATCAAACTGCTTTTCCCAACTGAAAACTCTATTGAAGTATGAAAGCCGATTTGGCATCAAACAGCCGATCCAAGTGG